ATATAGATACATAAACGATGTTTGTATATCTTAATAGGTGGTGTATCTGTTGATTTTGAAATAAATAGAGAAACTCCTACATTGGATGACTTTGTTATGCCCAATATGCGTGAATCACAGTTGGTTGCTCTTGAAACTGGACAAACATACGTGTCATCATTGGTAGATGTTGAATCTGAAAATATTTGTGTCACACCTTTGGAAGTTGCTAAAGCTGGAAAAACAAAGTTCAATCAGTTTGGTGTTATTGAGGGTGAAAACACATTTATCTCACCAGTTCAACATGTTCGTACGAAGATTCCAGGAAAGTATGCCCAATCACCATACACAAACTTAAGTGAATCAGGTGGCACATCGGTGAACACAGTGAAGTACTGTTTATGGAGGCATCCTTTTGTAAATTACAAGGGGTTTGATATGTACAGTGAAGTTATCCTTCATTTTAAGAAATGGGTTGATAGCAAATTATCCAAGAAACGTGGAAAGTATGTATTGTTGTGTAATTGTATTTTACCATTTGTTCATTCACTTTATATGTTATAACTACTAATTTTGTTTTATAGGAAAACCAGTTTCTTCACTGCTGCTTCAAATCTAATCGATCATCCTTTTGAGTTTGGTGTTGGTAGGGTGGATTTGATGGATTGGTTTCACCCTTTGGCTTATCCAGGACAACCTTGGAGAGATTTGGTAATTTCTTACGGTGTAACTATATATTTAAGTAAGATTTGGTATTTGTTTTTTGTTGTGATTTTTAGTGATTGGTAAGTAAAATTGGCTTATGGTAGTCACTGAAATCTGTGATTTAGTTCTATGGGGACAATTGTTTTTTGGTATGTATGCTAGGAAAATAAACTACTGACACAAACATAGACTCCTAATTTAGTTTAATTGTTACAATGACACAAACATAGAATTATAAATCTAGTCTAATAGGTAATAATTAGATAATGGTGATTCTTTCAATCAAGTTGTGATATTATTTTATTGTTTGGTGCTAACTAATAAAACTTGATATGCAGCATGTTGATGTGATAATGTATTATCTTCGCAAGTTTTGCAAATATGGTCCTGATAATAGTGCAAGAGTCACTACTACTGACCCTTTTTTCATCAGTTGGGTTGTTCAAATCCATGATGCGTGGGAGGCCAATGACAAAGATGAAAGTCTGATTAGTATACATCATGAGGTTGCACAATATATAAGAGGTGATAGGATTCTTGCTAATACTCCATGGGTGGATGTTGATCATGTATGCATTCCAGTCAATAGTAGTGATGCATTCCACTGATTTCTGGTTGTTTTTTCCATAAGAAAAAAGTGTTTATACATTTATGATTCTTTAAATGGTTATAGGGTTAAACATACCAATGCAGTAACAATTTTGGTTCAAAAAATATCTAGAATGATACCTTTGTTCCTAGTTGCTACTGATTATTATGCTTTAAGGAAAGACATTGACTGGAATACAGATGTGCATTATGCTGGAAGGCCAGTTGGTGATCCGTTGGTATATGGTAATCGTGAAAACATCCCACAACAACGCGACAATTCAACGTAAGTATAATGTGTCTTTTTTGTGGTTGATTATACTATGTATTGTACTAATTATGCTGATTGGGTAATATTTATAGGGATTGTGGTCTGTATACCTGTGCTTTTGCTGAATTTGTTTGTCATGGAGATAGGAACATATCTATGTCGATTTTAAATGCTGAAAATCTTCGATTGAGATTTGGAGCATCACTGTGGGAATATGGAAAGATGAAAATTGATACTGAATCTGTTAGTGAAGATGAAGCTTCTAAGCAAGGTGGTCGGTCAAATCGGAGGGTCAAGGAGTAAAAAGTGTCATTTCTTAAGACAGAATTTCATGAATGTTTTATGGTTTTGAATCTCTTTTGTAATTTTGGATAGTACTTTAGTTGCGTTTATGGTATTGAGTTCGTTGGATATTGTCTTTATTCTGTGATTATGCATTTATTTGGTTTTTTTTTTTGGTTAAATGTTGTGATAAATTTATATTGTGTGTTTGGTTTGTACATGTATGAGTTTGGTATAAATTGGGTTTTATCATTATTGAAAAATTATACTAATTGCTTATATGATCGATTGGATTTATTTCAAAGTTGCAGGTTGGTATACATACCAATGTGTTTACCCAGTTTTGTGTATTTTCCCTTCCATATGTAAACCAATTTTTTTCTTTAACAGAGTGTGTTTTTTTTTGTTTCAGTGTTAACCAAGATTGTATTCATAAGCCATTTATTGAAATATCAAAGTATCTTACAAAAAATTTAACCATTTAATGATCTTAAAAAAAAGTCAAAGAAATACCAAAGTATTTTATCAATATTTTAACCATTTAATAAACTTAAAAAAAAACAGTCAAAGATTACATACCCTTAAACCAATATTTAAAATTTATGATTTTATCAGGTTACCATCAATAAATGTAGGAAATATTTTTCATATTATTATTTACACCAATTCACATACTTAAAATACACTAAAATATGTACCATATTTTTATTTATTAGGTTCTAATTATATACCATAGATCGTCAAACTTGTAGTTCTTTACACCACCAATTACACCAAATAATTTATTAATGCACTTATTTTAATATACGTATGTTCATATGTAAGATAATATACCATCATCATTATGACATTTGGTTTTTATATATACCATCATTTATACCAAGCTATGTACCAGTTGTAACAAGAGTAAACCAATTTTACAGTAATTGAGTGTTGATTATTGTAGCGTCCAAACTAATATACTAACATTTAATAATTTAAATTTGTTGTTTTAGGTTGGTGTAAACTGCAAACATTTGTTTTACTATATACACCATTATCATGATCCTTTATTTTTACCATAAATTTGTTCCTATTTACCATAATTTTACCAAGAATTTGGCTTATTTACCAAATCAAATCAACAGCAGAATATCATCCAATAAGTTCATTTTTTATCAATATTTCTGGATATGTGACAACACGTAATCCAAAAGAGTTCATGATATCTACTATATACAACCATTTATAACAACTATGTATTTAAAAATATGAATAAGATAACAAAAAGTAATCGACTTTGAAATAAGGTAATGAAATTAAAAAACAGTACATCTAATAAAAGTAATATAGTTCAATTGTACAACTGCAAAGTAAAAATAACAACAAAAATACCACAAAGCTAATTATCATGAGTTTTTTTTGGGCAAGTCTTCTTGTTATGCCCAACTATACCACATTCACTACAGGTTACTTTCCTCTTCTTCCCCTCTCCTTCGGTGAATCCCTTTTTGCGATCATTTTTGGAGGTCTGCCTGGTTGCTTTCTTGTAATTGGTGGTAATACTACCTCTTCCAAGACATGTGATGGAACATCCCAAGTGCTTTCGCAGGGCAAGGGTTCAATTGGTATTGCATATGTATCTTGATAATTCTTATTACTATAATAAGGTGAACAATAATCATCGCGATGTTTATTCCTATATCTGATTGCTGCAAGTGCATGACTACAAGGGATCTCATCATGTTGAAATCTGCCACAACTACACATTCGTGTATTCAAACATACCGTAAACCTCTTTGCACCATCTGTAATGGTATGAAGGTGTATTGTTGATGCGCGTACCTTCATTTAAGAGCATGCATTATAAATAATAAAACCAAAACATACTATGCATAGTAGATAATTGTTAATACTTACAAGCATACGATGAGACAAATTTCTATTGTCCTCCAACATTTCATTGAATTTACTAGCCAAGGTTGTTGTAGTATTTCTACCTTCTTCGTTGTGTTTCTCATTCCAAGCTTCAATTGTTTTTCTAACAAATTCCAACAATGGTACCACTGGTAACCTTCTTCCAACAAGAATAGCATTATTTAGTGACTCTGCAATGTTACTTGTTAGTGTCCAAGTCCTTTTTACTAGTGAATGTGCGCGTGACCATTTCTCATAATTTGCTTTTTGTAGATAAGCACGGTATTTTGGATTAATTTGATCCATCATTTTCATCAATTCATCAAACTCTTGAACAGTGTAAGCTTTTGCTAAACTGAAGAATAATGTTCTAACCTCTTCTGTATCTCTGTATGTTTTCTTTAGTAAATTGGTCCATAGATGGTATATGCATGCGTAATGTCTGAATTCGGGATAAACAGCTGCAGTAGCATTCCAAATTCTCTTATTTCTATCAGAAACAAAGCACATATCTTCCCTTTCACCGAATGCATTTTTAAAATTCTCAAAGAACCATAACCATGAATCATCATTTTCTGAATCAACTATTCCGTATGCGGCAAGATGTGACCTATACAACAAATATCTTCAAAATAAATACAACATATATTGATTATATATAAAACAAATCAATCTAGTT